TTGAAAACAGATTTCAGGAAGTCTAAAAATGGCTTGAAAGGGATTCAGTTTTTTGACCTTTTTACTTTAAGGACCAGTCAGTTTTTTTCTCCTCCCTTTATCAATCCATTATCAACCGGAAAGGTGACGGGAAGAAGGAAAATATATCAATAAGGGGATATTACATGACTTAACGCCAAATTTTAAGTGCCAAACTAAAAAAAAATGAACAGGAGACAGTGTGGAGAATTGCTATTGAGATCTCATAGGAATGAAATGATTGTCAACAACTTCTATTTCGTCTTTTGTAGACGCTAAGGGCAATCGTTCAAAAGTGTCTGCAAACAGGCGAAACGCTTGGAGCGAACTCCATTGCATTTCCTGTCATTGGGACTGGAAACCTACACTTCCCACGCGATGCAGCCTCGAGAATCATGTTGGATGAAACAGTCAATTTCTGCAAAACCAACCCTGGTTCTAATTTACGGGACATCCGATTTGTCGTGTTTAACCAAGATCAAGCATTAACTGCTGCCTTCAAACAAGAGATGGACAAACTACAGCCCAAGCAAACTAGCCTCCCTGCCTTCACGACTTTTACTAGAGGAATACGTTCCTTCTTTGGATGGAAGAAAACAGTGGGGACATTGGGTGTAAGCATTGAAGTCTTGCAGGGCGACTTGTGCCGGGAAACTACGGATGCCATAGTGAATATAACAAGTAAGGACTTGAATATGGACAGTGCTGGAAAGTTGAGCGAGACAGTGAAACAGCTAGCCGGGCCACAGGTTGAGACTGAGTTGAAGCAGTTCGGACAGCAATCAGGTGGAACCGCATTGATCACCAGCAGTGGAAATCTCCCTACGCAGAAAATTATTCACTTAATTCCAGACACCAATAATAAAGACCACCTCCAGCAGTGTGTTGAAAGATGTCTCCGGCTGGCAGAGACGCATAGTCTTGGATCCATTTCGATTCCCGCAGTTGGTACCGGTGCATTCCATGTTTCTGCAGTGGACTCGGCCAGTCTGATATTTAAGGCCCTGACAAACTTTAGTGGAAGCTTCCGTAGTGTCCGCAAGGTCAGGATCGTAATCTTCGAGTCTCCAATGTTGTCGGCATTTCAGCAAGAACATCAGAGGCACTCGTTTTCTCCACAAGTAGGTGTGGCTCAGCGCATAACCTTAACTAGCCCGTTCAGTATCGAGGTGATAAATGGTGATTTGACGCAAGAGAACAGCACTGACGCTATCATGAATATCAACAGCACGGACATGAACATGAATAATGCCGGAGACCTAAGCAAAGCCATAGCAAGACAGAGTGGTCCACTTGTGCAACAAGAATGCAACCAATTGGGAAAGCAGCCTCCTGGAACAGCGATAATGACAAGCGGAGGTAATTTACAAGTACCTCATATTATTCACATAATTCCAGGCTCCTCAGATAAGCAACATCTCCAGCAATGTTTGGAGGAGGGTCTTCGCGTTGCGGACGCCAATAACTTTCAAGCTATCTCAATTCCGTGTGTTGGCGCAGGAGGATACGGCTTGACCGGAGCGGACTCAGCACAGCTGACATTCAAAGCACTAAATGCATTCAGTGCCCGCTGTAAAAATATTCAAAAAGTAAGAGTGCTTGTGTTCCAGGCCTCCATGATGCAGGAGTTTCTACAAGAGCAGAAGAAACAACTGGTGCAAGGTATTGAAGAAGACAGTGACTCAGAGAATGCAGTAGCCAGGCAAACCCGAAGACGCGGACGTAGGCAGGCACCAGGCCAAAGTGATGAACATTCTGTAAGAATTTTTGTGATTGGCAAAGACAAGGCGAGCGTGGGAAAAGCCGTGGAATCCTTGAAGAAAGGTTTCTCTGACGCTTGTACAATGGAAAAAGTCGAAACTGACGTCGTCAGTCAGCTTTTCGATAAGCAGAAGGATATCTTGAGAAAAAAAGCTAAAGACCGTGACGTCAAACTTGAAATTGAGGATGACGTTGATCGCATTGTCGTTCGTGGTGGACCAACCGAAGTTTCTGGAATAGTCGGGGAGATCTGGAAAGAGATCAATGAGAGGACGAAGAAGAAGCAGGAGGAAGAACAAGCGAAGTTGGTTTCAAAGAACATAGAGTGGAGCTATGAAATACAAGGCATACAAATGGCGTTCGCTCCGAAAGCAAATGCCAGGATTGAGTTGGCCCACAGCAAAGACGAGCACACAGTGCAAGTTTCTCTACGAGGAGACAAGTTTGTCATCGACTTGAAGAGAAACTCTGGACGTGGACAAACGTCTGGTGAACAAATAACACTGAAAAGAAAGGTGAAGGGTGCTGATGAAGGTAAGTTGCTAGACATCTCTTTTGAAGAGGATGTTTCGATAAAGTTTAAGAAAAGACTGAGAGCTATTTCATGTCTCAGAGAACGTTTAAGGTAATAAATTTGTGATACAGATACGGCATATTCAGAAAAGCTGTCCTAAAATGTCTCTCCCAAGCTTTCCTGTTGATCTTGTATGTGTCTTACCTGAAAAATATACTTGGATCTTGAAATTTAACCTCAGTAGATGGGTTTTCATTTCAACATTCTAATGTTTTGGTCCTTTCTGTAGGAATTGCTCTGCCAAAGCACTGGACACCAATGCCCAGCCATGACTCCACTGTACATAAAGTACCATTGCACCCAAGCTCCCCTGAGTATCAAGATGTGGTACGTAAGTTTCAAGCCACAGCCGGAGCGTTAAATATTCAGAGGATTGAACGCGTACAGAATCCTCATCTATATCAGTCTTACATGGTACGAAAACAGAAAATGGATAAAGATGCGGGAGGAAATAGTGAAAGACAGCTGTTTCATGGGACGGATGCTAAAAATATCAACCATATCAACACACATGGATTCGACAGAAACTTCTGTGGGAGTCGTGGTAAGTCACTGAAATTTTAAATAGAGGAAACGTTTCATCATCTCGTCACCGAGTGGGATTAAGGAAAAATTTCAAGTACTTATGAGAAATCGAACGTCAGGCTTTCAGATTTCCTCGCTCCAACGCTCTACCATCGAGCTACAGACTCTATGATGAGCAGAGTTTTCAAGTGGTTAATATGTGGCACGCCTTCCACATACTGCTAGGATCATTAATTTCGAAAGCTTCGTGTGAGAAAAAGGAGCATTGAAGCAGCATTTTCGAGCGATTGGTCCTAAGTAGTTAACCCTTTATACCCTAACATCAGTATGCACATTCTCCACTCCGTTCTTGAAACATTTCCTAAGGTGCTGAAACAAAGAATTTGTTTGCTAATCAAAAGGTTCCTTCACAGGTGACCATTTCCTTTATTCTCATGACCTTAATGTGTGATTTAGGCTTGTTATTGTAGAGTTTAAAAGGTTAAAGCGTTTTTTTGGCTAAACTTTTATTTGTCTACCTGTCCCACCAAGTCACTCTTTAGAGTCAAATATGGTAATAAAAGCTGTAATAATATAAGGAGAGTACAACTGCCTCTTTCATAACAAATAACTTCACCGCATGTATGATTTTGTCGATCCTTTTTTTCTAAATTGAGCTTTTTTTTCAGGCACGGCCTATGGACGTGGTGTTTATTTCGCTAGAGACGCTCAATACTCTGTTGCATGCGCTGGGGGTGGTGGAGGGCGCCAAATGTACTTTGCCAAGGTCCTCGTGGGGCAGTATTGTGTTGGAGATCCTTCAATGATTGTGCCTCCACCAAAAAATCCATCGAAACCTGAAATTCTTTACGATTCCGTGGTTGATAACCAATCAAACCCCAGCATCTTTGTTGTTTTCTTTGATAATCAGTGTTACCCTGAATACCTTATAACCTTTTGAAGACCACAAGGACCTTTTCCTCAGAAAACGGCAGAGTTGAAATGCTTTATAGTTCAACTTAGTTTATTAGATATATAAACTGCACGAAATTGTTCTCCTTCACAGTGTAGGGAACATCATATAAATGTTGGTAATAGTTCCTCGATAGCATTCTTTACCGTCTTTACTCAAAGCTCATTCTTCATCCTCTAAATTGAATGATCATGTCCCAGTGGTTAGAAAGTTATTGTAATGATGCCAAACAAAGTAAAATCCAGCTTAACGAGTCTTATCACTACAGTCCAGGTACCACCAAGAGGCTAGTGGTAACAGCATCCATATCAATACACAACGATTCAACAGGTGCTTCCCTGGAGTTCATGGTGGGTCTGTTGCTGAAGCCGTCTTTTGTTAGATTGATAGTTTTCGGCTTAACATTCCATCCACTTACGTCTCGGATACTTGGATTGTTCTAACTATGGTTTAAATAGTCAAATAGCTATGGTTTCATGGTTTAGAATGCATCTTTGTTTTCTTCAGGCGTGGTCTATGGACGTGGTGTCTACTTTGCCAGAGGCGCTGCATACCCAATTTGTTACGCTTCGCGTGATGTTTCTGCAAGACGCCAAAAAAAAAAATTCGTGTCATTGGCACTTAAAAACCAAGATCTTTACTTTAATACTGAGTTAAAAAAGAAATGTCCTCGTTTCAGTTCGACAACATTGAACATATAGAAGAAATGTGAGGAACATTCTGCCTTTCAAGGCAGACTCGATAAAATTGACCCCTTACTCAGGTTAGGTTATAATTTCTGATACACAGATGAAACATTTTCTAAAATGGCTCTCATAGGGGCCATGACTTCATACTTCCAAGAATTAAAATTTAACGTTTTAAACGAGGTTTTGTATATATATAAAAGTCTTTAGGGTTATTTTTTAATGTACTCCTTTTTCCCCATCTCGTTTGTTTGGTATTCTAGTAACTATGTGACTGGCTGTTAATTTTTAGTAACGCGCACGTTGTCTCATTCTTTAATGAAGACTTTCACTTACTTTTATGGTGTAGAAGATTCACCAGGTAGGGAATCTATTTGAGATATTAAAAAACTGGTTCGCGCTAAGAGGGTAGTCAAAAGCATTGTGTAACTGCAACTGGTATTAAAATAAAGGAATAGCGAAAAACTGAGGCATTTGTTTTCCCTTTTTGACCACAAATAGCGCTTTTTACATCGAACGAGTGAAAGGGGGTCTTCCCGCCGATTATTAGAGCAGGCTGACGAAGAATCCCTAATGAAATTTAGATCACAGCTACGGCCACCTTCAGTTGAGGACGGTTTTAATTTTATGCTCCTTACAAAAACTTAAATTCTGGGCAATCTATTTACCATATGCCTCACACTAAGATAGTTGTGACTTAGATAACGATTCCTGTCACGCTCAGTATGCTTTAAGACATTACGTGACATAGTGAAAGGAAGCCTCGCTTTGATCCCTGATTCTAAGAAGAAAGGCGGAAGTCTCGAGACGGACGAAGCCATGCTTTTGACACACGGTGAACACTTGAAAATTGCTTCTTTTGGATCGATTGGTGTTCTAGACTAAACGATATTCCGCATTTTTGGTTGTTTTGAATTTAAAAGCCGTAACATGTAGGAAAAATTGGCACCACATCGAGGTAAGCATATCAAAGTCGCCGTTGTTAGTCTCGATAATTCAATAGATACACAGTGTTATTTCAGGTAAATTTTCCAATAGTTTCCTAATAATTATCGTTTCTAAATCAGACAGCACAAATTTTATTTTTCCTTCGAAAATTCAGTTATTTATAAAATCTGATTTTGGTCTTATTTAGGGGAACTTTTTCGATATATATCGGAGTTCGAGGCTTTGTACTATTTTAAAAACATCCTCCTTGTTAGTCGAGTTTGTTGCATCTTGTTTTGAAATAGATCTGAAGTTTATAACTGACCCTGAGCTAAATAGTACTTCAAGGAAGTTTATTTTTCATGATCAGGCTATAAGGACCTCTAGATTGAAAATAAAATGATCCATTTGAATAAAATATCTCAACCGGTTCTTATCAATTGGAAATTTCTGTGTGAGAAATGTTTGTAATACCCCCTAAACATGTTTTCAAAAGTAAATTATGAAATTATATTATGCTAGTTCTAGCCTACGGAATGAAATTGCAAAAGGCTGATCTTGGCGAGGATATGATATCCACTAGTCTTGGGGTAAACTAGCTAGCGCAGCTGTAATTCGTTCGTTGACAATCGTACACTTTACTTTGATTGTAGAGTTTCGTGATGTAGTATTTACGCCTTTGTATGGTTTTCATGTCATCGCCAACCGGTTTGTCACCTTATTTGTCATTTGAAATTCACAAAGCAAAGTCTTCTATTAGAACAAATACTGGGTGCAATATAGTATAGAGTGGAAAAGTGGAAAAAGTGCAGAATATAATGGTGTCAGAACCGAATGTAATGGTTTGAACCGGATGTAATGAGCTTTGCACCCTTATCATGAAAATAGCATTGAATATAAAGATAGAGGGACAGAGTAAAATGAAATAAATACTATATATAATCACGAGAAAAAAGTACTGTAAGACAGTTCTGGTGTTCCGTGAGATTGCGGCGAATTTTAATTGAACTACATTTCTGAACACATTTACGGAGGCGGCGTTTAAGAGAAGATTCAATAAAAAAGGAGCAAAAATCAGTGACTGATTTAAAGGATGCATTCTATCCGCACTACTGTTGTTCGAAACATGTTGCATTAGACCACGTGAAATATGCAAATTTTTTTCGGAGCCGAGAGCAACCCTGGCCTCCTCATTGGACGATTCACATAGCTTCGGGCGCAAATCCTGTCACGCTTCACGCAAGACATTAACAACGATCCATGACGTAGACACAAACGTTGTTTTTTTGAAAAAATGATTCGAAAAAATCAATAGAGAAAAATACACAGCGTAAACAAGTAGAACACATGACATTGGAGGTCTTAAACTAGACTGCTTTTTATTCATGTCAAAGTGAGCTCAATGGCGTGCAGAGTTCACGGCAAATTCACATCAATGAGTAAATTTTTTATCTGTCGCCGGTTCAGTTCAGAGATTTAAGTTTAGTTCCAAGCAAGTGGTGTCAATTTATTTCTTTCATCTATCCATTCATTTATTCATTCGTTGGTTTGTTCATTCAATCAATTATTATTTCATTCATTCATTCGTTCATTGATTCATTCATTCAGTTTTCATACTTTCATACTTTCACGAGGTCTCTTGCATCTTCAATCATCTCTACGTAAGTTAAGTCTACGTTTCAGTCGCTCGCCTCTACAAATTTGTTTCGTGTAGTCAAATACCATATGTATGCCAAAGGAAATATGGGGCTTATTTCCCAATATGTTTGTATCAAGTTTCTTGATGCACATAACTGTCATCGGTATTTTCTGTATCTAGCACAAGAGGTTAATTGACTTTGACAAGTCTTGTATGAAAGACTGAGCGCGACCTTGGTGTACTTTGAACCACAATTAAAACCGTTTTCTGATCCGTTTGTTACTTTCAGGGACATGTAATTTTAGTCAGCTGCCTGTGGATAAATAAAATGGCCACCGCCCGCGACCCTGATGATTTGCTTCGTTCGAATGCCGACAAAGAAAATTTCCAACGCTTGACTCGTCTGCTGATAACTGGAGGTACTACACTGCTGAGGGAAATTTTTGACATGTTTTGTTCTCCAAATGATCTTCCAAAGTTGCTGCAAGATTCTACGACAAAAAATAAGCTTAAAGCAGCAAAGCTCTCCAAACCACTGTGGGACTGCCTGTACCCTTCCCCAGGGGTTTATGGCAAGTCACAAGACTTTGATGTTACTCTACTCTTCAGACTACTCAGAACACTTTTCACGCTTATCCCACCTGCGACAGGCTGGGATGAACTTCCAGCAAGTGAAGATCACAGTTTGGAAGCAGATTTAGCGAGAATTAAATACTACCGGAACTCTATCTATGGTCATGCTTCGCAGAACATGGAGATGTCAGATGCAGAGTTTTCATCCTTATGGAATGAGATAAGTGAGGCTCTTGTCAGGATTGCGGGACACATCAGCCCTGAAAAGAAAACGGAATGGCAGAAGGCGATCAATAAATTTTTTACAGATCCCCTCACGGAAGAGGATAGAAGGAATGTGGAGGAATTGCTGACTTGGTATAAAAACGATATGGAGGTTAAGAAATCAATAGAGAAACTAGAAACTACAACTCAGGAAATGAAAGACCAGATGGATCAACTAGGAAAGCTGCAACAGAGGATGGATCGTAAACTAAGCGTCTTAACTGAAAGTTCACGAGAACAAGGAGGTTAGTTGAATTTCTTCCATTATTGCAGGAGAAATAAATCAATTTGCGCTCCATGTTCAAGAAACGATCCCGGACCGACCGGAAAACACAGAAGGAGTTCTTATATTTTGAAAAGTTTTTCCCGACAGTTTTCCTATTTTTAGAAAGAGTCTAAGGCTAGATGGGCGATCGAAATACAGCTCTTTGAGAGTGTTTTAATGGCCATTTAACTTCCCATCGGAAGTTATAGTGACTCATTCATTGCATCACGAAGCTATTAGGTTGTTGTTGTGTTTATCTTAGGCTATAGCCCTGTTGTCTAACCATTTGGTTTAATTGCTGATTGGCGAGTAAATTGCAGTTGGTCCAGGTAAACAGCAAACAGTTGAGATGCTAGGGCATATTATTCTGCATGACGAAAGTTAGGCGTACTTTAACTTGGGATCTTATAGAAAAGTTATTCAATATTTATCCTCAGCTCGACTTGCTTTGAGAATTGACTGCAGCATACCTGACCCACAAGTGAGAACCTCTGAGAGAGCAGCAACTTCGCAGGAAGAAGGAACAAGAGCCACTGTTACTAGGAGCCCTTCTTCTACCACTCAGGCAGGAGCCTCAGAGATAGCAGCAACTTCAGAGGGAGAAGGAGCAGGAGCCTCCGTTACCTGGAGCCCTTCCCCTATCACTCAAGCAGGAGCCGCTGAGATAGTCGCAACTTCGCAGGAAGAAGGAACAAGAGCCTCTGTTGCTAGGAGCCCTTCCCCTACTACTCTAGCAGGAGCCTCTGAGATTGCAGCATCTTCGCAGGAAGAAGGAACAAGAGCTTCTGCCGCCGGCAACTCCTCTCCTACCACTCAAGACGTTTTAAATCTCGCTGCGATAAAGTACCTGAATACAATTAACCCGTCTACACCAGAGGAACTAAATGGATTTGTACAGTATTTAAAAGAGGTGCGTCAAGTATTGATCGTGGACACAAAGCGTGGAAGTTTAATAATTATCGTGGAATGCACCTCCTTGGAAATACTTGATGGACTGTGGAACGACTATTGCTCAGGTCAACTGAACAAGATGGCACAAAAATACCTTGTTACAGAGGAACTTTTAAAAGACCTCGGTCTCTTGGATGTAAAGCTCACGGTAACTATTCTGGAAGATGAGTACAAAAGATGTCGAGAGCATTTCTTACAGCAATCAGGTACGTGCAGTGACTGAGAAGCTTACTGCTTTAAGTTTTCATCATGTTTTCCAAAATTAAAAACTCTCTGAGTCACAGTGTTTCAAAATTTGTTTGTGTAGATGGTCGCTTTCTCCGAAAAAATTGTAAAAACAATGTGCATTTGATGTCCCTTTTGAGACGGTTTTCAGGTTATCTGAGAAAATAATGTGCAGATTTAAAATCTGTTTATCTAGGACAACTTAATCATTCAATGACTGAATTAAGTTACTTCGACAATTGGCTGAATAGATCATTTCACTGATATCATATAGAAAGCAAAGACACTCGTCCTCATGAAAAAGTCCAAGAAACCACGGAAGAAAGCACAAGTACATCAGATAAGGATCGTCAACAAAATGAACAGTTCAGAGTTATACCTGAGCGAGAAACCTGGCATCAAGTTCCACCTCATGGCCGGCATTTCAAACATAAAGCGGCTGGTGGTAAGAAAGGTCCACTGTTAAAAATGTTAAGAACACGCTAGCATCTACAACCGATTTTTGTAGTTGGAGTGGTTAGATTTGGCTGAGCATATTAGATCTTAAAACCAGGCCATGGCTCTCTTTTCTTCTGCCCTTGTAAAAAGTTTCTAATTTAGTATGTGATTATATACCTGTATGTGT